TAGGATTATTTAAGATTTGTGTTTAAAGGCGAATCAGTCTCATTATCGTGATCTCATCACGATCTAATTCTCATTGTATAAATCCATGGACGTCACAATATATTCAAGCAATAAGTAATATAAAGTGATAAAATATCAAAAAATAATAAGAAGCAAAAAGACTGTGTGTCAAGCCACACATGCCATCACTCATGTGATTGGTTTGCCGGACACCGATGACTATCATGTGGCATAGACGATTGATGCATATCTCTAAGGAAAGAATTAAAAGATTAGTGAAAGATAATATTTTGGAACATTTAGACTTCAATGATTTTGATGTTTGTATAGATTATATTAACGAAACGTAAACTAAGCATACATAGAAAAATACCATAAGAAGTAAAATAACTTCTTGAGATTATTCATACTGATATATGTGGACCACTCCATATTCCCTGTTTTAGTGGAGAAAGGTATTTCATTATATTTTTAGATGACCTATCCAGATATGGTCATGTTTATCTAATACATGAAAAGTCTCAAGTCATTGACACTCTTGAAGTATACATAAATGAGGTTTAGAGACAATTATATAGAAAAGTTAAATTATCATATTTGATAAGGGTGGTAAATTTTATGACAGATATGATAATCCGATCAAAATATTAGTCCTTTTCCTAGATTTCTAGAATAATATGGTATTTATGCTCAATATGCATTACCAAGTGTGCTACAGTAGAATGGTGTTGTTGAAAGACAAAATCATACTCTTATGGATATGTTAGGAGCATGATGAGTTATTCCTCTGTACCTGAGTCAATGTAGGGTGAAACTCTTAGGACACCTATGCACATCTTAAATAGGATTCCTAATAAGTCAATTTCATTAACTCTATTTGAGTTATGGACTATTAAGAAGTCCAGTCTGAGACATTTACATATTTGAGGGTGTCTTGCAAAGATAAGAGTATTCAATTCACATTAAAATAAATTGGATCCAAGAATTATTTCTAGATATTTTATTTGTTATCCAGAAAAATCCAAGAGATACGGATTTTATTGCCCTAATCATAGTACGAGGATAGTAGAGTCTGATAATGCAAGATTCCTAGAAAATGGTGAAATCAATGGGAGTGAAAAATCTCGAATGATCAATTTTGATATTGAGGAGATTTAGGTTGATTCTTCTGTATCATCTCCTATTTAAGAAATTATTGTTCCTCAAATCAATGAGAGAATTAACGAGGGTGAACAACAAAATAACATTGATGAACTCTTATATGATGTTGATATCGCCGCTAATGATCTTGCAAAAACAATCATAATTGGCAACTTTTAGAAGATCTCAAAGAAAAAGGAAACATGTCATTTCTGATGATTATGTGGTATATCTACATGAATCAGATTATGATCTAAGAAGAAAAAGAGACCCCTTATTGTTTTCACAAACTATAGAAAGTAACGATTCTGAAAAATAGTATGATACAATGAAAGATGAGTTAAAATCAATCGCCTAGAATGGTATCTATCTAGGAACTCGTTGAATTGCCTAATAATTATAAAAGAGTCAGTTTTAAATAGGTCTTTAAGACAAAACATGATTCAACGGGCAATATCGAACAATATAAAGCCAGACTTGTAGCCAAAGGATTTTCTTAGAAAGAAGGCATCGACTACAATGAGATTTTTTTTTCTAGTTTTTAGAAAAAAGCTCATTGAAAATCATCATGGCATTGGTAGCTCATTATGATCTTGAGTTATATCAGATGGATGTGAAAATAATATTTCTGAATAGGGATCTGGATGAGAAAATCTATATAGAACAACCTGAAGGATTCATAGAAAGGAGAAAAGAAAGTTTGGCTTGTAAACTTAAAATATTTATTTATGGCCTTAAATAAACTTCTAGACAATAGTATATAAAGTTTCATGATACCATTATTTCCTTCGGATTTAAGGAAAATATTGTTAATTAGTACATACATCTGAAGGTAAATGGGAGTACATTTATTATATTGATCTTATATATGGATGATATTTTATTTGTCAGTGATCTTGGTTTATTGTACAAAATCAAGATATTTCTGAACATGAACTTTAAGATGGTTAATATGAATGAGACAGCCTATGTTCTTGGCATTGAGATATTCAGTGATAGATCTCAAGGATTATTAGGATTATCTCAGAAAGGATATATTAATAATATCTTGGAGAGATTTAGTATGCAATTTTGCTCAACTAATGATACACCTATTACTAGAGGTGAAAAATTCAGTCAAAACTAATGCCCGAAAAATGATTTACAAAAGAATCAAATGATAAAGAATATTCCTTATGGATTTGTAGTTGCAATTCTATTATATGCTCAAATCTATACAAGACTAGATATCAGTTTTGCAGTTGCAATGTTGGAAAGATACCAAAGCAATACAGGAATGAAATATTAGAAAGCTATAAAAAAAATATTAAGATATCTACAAGGGACAAAGATTATATGCTCACATATAGGAGATTAAATCTTCTTGAAGTGACAGGATATTCAGATGCTGATTTTACAGTAGGAAGTCAACTTCAGGATTTGTATTTATGTTAGTTGGTGGGGCAATTTCTTGAAAAAGTACAAAGTAATTACTTATTACATCATCGAGGCTGAATTTGTGGCATGCTTTGAGGCTACAAATCAAGCTTTATAGTTATAAAATTTGATCTAAGGACTTAGTGTGGTCGACTCAATTACCTGGCTGCTGAAGATATTTTATGATAACACTATAGTAGTTTTTTTCTCTAAGAATGGTAAGTACTCTAGTGATTCTAAGTACATCGAGATAAAGTACTTAGTTGTTAGAGAAAGAGTCCAAAAATAATAAGTATCATTTGAGAACTTAAGCATCACTATGATGATTGTGGATCCACTTACCAAAGTTTTATAATGTAAAATATTTAAAGAATATATTCTTAAAATGGAGCTTTTGTGAAATAAAGTAATTGGTTGTTAGAGAAAGAGTTCAAAAATAACAGTGTCAATTGATTGTGGATCACTAAGATGATTGTTGATCCATTTATCAAAATTTTACGGTGTAAAATATTTAAAGAAACTTGTGGGCATAGTAATAAACCAAACTAAATATCACTTTAGCTGTAAAAAAAGCAAAGTAAATAATGAGGCCGAGTCGAGCTAGAATGCGACCAAATTTCTCATCTATCATGGGAAAAGTGAATAATAAACAAGATGGAGTCTATCATCTCTGATTGCTACACTCAGTCACTATTGCTTGGCTTGCTAAGAAAGGCGACAAAATAATGAGCACGAAAGGAAGGCAAAACAAGAAAAAAGATATAAAAAGAGAAGATTCTGACGAGCAAGCGCTCAAGCTTGTCTTCATCAATGATGACAAGGCCAGTGACCATACAGTTGAGCATCTTTTCCCTTTTGGCATTGGAGTGCATCATTGGCGAACAATGCGAATAAGGTAGAGTGCATTATTTTCAATGGCTTCTTTCCTTCGTTACTGTTATGCCTACAAGAAAGTCAAATAAATAATGAGAACAAATGGGAGGAAGAGAGAAGAAAAGAGATAACGGGAGGATCACCTCCCTTCTAACATCGGAGAGGATCATAGGTAGATTAGACTTTGATTGCAATAAAATAAAGAAAACAATGAGAATAACAGGGCATGGAGCAACGAAACAAAGATCATCATTTCCGATTCTTGCTTTCATTCATTATCACTTTAGCTTAAAAAGTCAAGAAAATAAAAAAAAAAAACAGAGGGAGAGACAAGAAAAGAGATGAGGATCTCATCTATCATATCAGAAGAAAACAGTAAATGAGGTGGAGTTTGTCATTTCCAATTGTTGCACTCATTTGCCACTGCTTTGGCACGATTATTATGCTAACAGTACCAAAAGAAATGTGCTTGTATATGAAACATTTCTTTCTTTAATATGTTATCATGGCCAAGAGTATTTCCAAGATGTTCTTGGTGACGAAGACAACTTATTTCTTTTCAATTATGTATTATAATATTCATTTAATGGGTTTGATGTGAAAATTCTTAATCAATTTAATTACAAAATCTGAAAAAATTGCAGGAAATCAAATACATTATTGAGTCCGAGTCTGACTTTAGAAATTTAAGTCACTATTGATGAATTGTTTAACAAGAACAATATAGTATGAATAAAATTCAACTTTGATATTTGAAAAATGAATTGGATAATATTATTTGAGAATCTAATATGATATAAAATACCACTATGAACAAAAGCCAAAACAATGAATAAATGATAATGTATGAGATCGAGATACTCGTGAAGTATGAAACCGTAACAAATGTACCAAAAAATATCTAATTAAATTATCATTTCAGATATGGTTGATATATCATAGCCAAATAACCAATATGTCGATGTCAGGTGGCCAACACGTTAGTGCCAATTGTCCGAGTCGAGTGGTTCACACCTCTCAACCACGTGATAAGCCTATTAACACTTTGTGAATCTTATCGTGCCAACCAATCACTCCCACCATTCGTCCGAATGTTGCACCATCCCGAATTCAATGCAAACCAACGATAGGTATGTCCGAGATCAACGCTCCACATTCCGACGAAGAACGTGTCATTCGGAGGTAACGACTATGGGAAACCACCCCAATAATAGTTTTATAGGAACATCCTAAGAAACAATCTTGAACTCAAAATCTTTCCGACCAAAATTGGCATCGAATGTGAATTGTCAGAATCATCAGATCAACTCAAAGAATGGACTATGTCAGATTTGAATCAGCTCCCATCTCAAACAACCATAATCTAATTTAACAACTCTATTAAATGAACATATATGATCCATTTAGTAATGTGGCATATATATACATACATGCATGTCATTTTTTGTATTTATATTACGAATAAAATTTGGTGTTTTCCTTAAATATTTCAATGCACAAGCTTTCTACAATGAGAAAATCCAGTGAAACCGACTGCTCCCTAATGATTAGTGAAGCTTTCTACAATAATGTGTTAAAACTCAACTTATTAGAAAGCATATTAAGGTATCACGGTTCATCTCAATCTGATGATAATAGATATCAGTACATTCAAACAACCAAATCAGGGTATCGAAGTAGTAAATCTACTGTTCAGATCAGTGAGCAGATTGAGTAGTTGCAGTCTTCTTGAAGTCGATCTTGTCAACCTTCACCTCTCCATCGATAAGCTCGTAAACATAAACCACAACACGAAGGCCATCAATGTCCATTAGCACGAAACTGGGGTTGACATCATAAGTTATGCTGCTATATGCACCAGTTGCTGAGCCAGGGTTTATGACGACACCTCCCTCATGCTTGTAGGCCTTGAACTGATGAGTGTGTCCAGTCACAAGGATATCTACATCCAGTTGTCTCTGAAGCATGGCTAACGAGTCCAAGTCACCCCACGGGACGATCTGCATTGATTGAAAACAAAAATAAAGACATGGCAGATATGCTGACTAATATCCACTTGGAAAATATTGGAAAGCAATAATAACTGAAACGAACTGACAACTGGAAGACTTCATGGGAATTGAATTTTGTGTAGCCTTCACCAGTGTATATAACCAGCCACGTGAAGAAACTTCTAGACAGTTTCTAAACACCTTAATTTGCAACAAAAATATAAAAAATCCTTTCGCAATAATGCTAACAACCTAAACTTAACATGAAAACTTGTTCTTAGCTAAATTCAAGATGAAACGAAGGAACACATCGGCAGAAATTAAAGTTGTGGAACCTCTCGAGGGTTTAGGTTGACAACATTGGAAACAGGTTTGTCCAAGGGGCTTCACTCTGTCGAAAATCACCAAATGCATATTGTCTGCATTTCCTGAAACACACTATAAATCTGCCTCTCCAACTCTTTGATCCATCATAAACTGAATTTAAATAAATGCAGACAATTTATCATCCTTCAGGGAATACTAAGGAACTCAGCTTCGTGGGATTAATTGACATTTTATTCTACAATGTTTTAACGAAAAGTATGCTGATTTAACACAAAAAAATACTCCAGCCATGTTTATATGAATTGACAAGAGTCAATTCCTTTCCGAAAACGAGGTAGACAGTTCATTCAGTGCATATAATATGTATAAAGAGCATCAGAAATAGAAAGAAAAATCCATAATCACTGTCTCAAAACAAAGGAAAAACAAACCTGATGACCATGACAAAGCCCAAGCTTGAACTGACCAATCATAAGAGTCTTGTTTTCTGGATAACGAACATCTTCATCATATTCACCTCGAGTAATATGCAGGTCAGGACTTAAGCTTTTCAAGTAATCATGAACTTCCTACAGAATTACAGCTTCTTTGAGATGTCAACTTCATGAAAATATTGCCATAAAATAAGTGAACAATTTCATGAAAACCATTTTGAAAACCAAGAGTGGTGATATAAATAAACAATTTGCTCAACATGTTCAACCAATAAAACCCAAAACACTTAACCACCCAGGAAAATCTGGCATCTATTAGTAAACAAAGGAACATGTGCAAAATAGTGAGATTACAGTCTGGCAATAACAAAAGATAAAACAGTATGGTAATAATACAAGGTATAAGATAAAACATTATCCTTGTTCAGTCTGTGTGGACATCTATAGTTTTTCCGATGATATTGTCAAAGCTTTTGCTCTCGTATGTGCAACTCCTTGTCATATTCGAAGCCTCCAAGAAGGCAACCACACTCACTCATAAAATAATTGTTTTACACTTAGAATGGTTTTCTATCTAAAATCTGCAAACAATGGCTTGTTGACAAAGACTTTGTCGAATCATTGCAAGGTCTTGATAGCAAATCCAACCTTCACCACTTACCATTTGTCAAAAAAGGGCTTGTTAATATTTTTGCTAAGCTACTAGAAAGTCACAAGAATTTTTAGCAGTCAAGAACAAGTTCAAGCTAACACAACAAATTTAACGTCTTAAGAGTCTTATGCACATTCACTTCAATTAGAAAAATCAAGGACGATGTGTTAATGGTATGCAAATGCACACTTACTGTGGCCAAGATGCAGTTGCTCTATCAAGCCTGAAAAAACAGTTAAAGACTGTAACATACTAAAAATATGAAGCTTTACAATCCTTGATCTTTTCCTGTTAATAGTGCTTGAATTTCATTTGAGAAGCTAACTAATATGAATTTGGGTCACAACCCACAGTGCTAAAGCCACATTGCTATTAGTAATTTTTCCAAATACATATGCAATGTTGTGATACTTTCATTTGGACACTTGCATGAAAACATACAAATTATAAATGATTCCACCATTGCTTCACAACTTTAAGTTCTCACACACAAAATTTGCTTCTCTATCATAAAGGCATATATAATGGCCTACTTCCAGTAAAAGATTCTCCATTATAGATTCCAGCGAAAATTGTCCCTCCACTAACATCTTCCTAGAAGCATAAACCATAAAAAGCCCATTAATTATGGATTCTAGTGCATTTTGATGCCTAAAGAAATCTTGCAGGAGTGACAACGATAACGATGCTATATATATATATATATATATATATATATATATATATATATATATATATATATATATATATATATATATATATATATAAAGGATACAGAATCATTAAAAAGAAAGTGGAAAAGAAGCACCTTAATGCAAAGATTTCCAGTACACAAGATGTGCTGAATTTTCCCAGGCACAAGCATGGACTTAAATTTGGCAGGCAAATCGGGCGCCCGGTGAGGGATGTGGAGATCACCAATGGCTAGAACGAGCACCATTCTCCTCCAGCGTAAAAGACCAAATCAAACTTCAAGCATCTTTAAATCCTGCAAAATCAAATCTTGATCGATCAAAAGCATCTAACTCTAGATCACCCTAAAATTCGACGGCGCGCATAAATTGCAACAACGAAAATTATAAGGCTCAAACTAGCGAACAGTCACAAAGGCCGCCGATCATTCAAACTCGACAATCAACGGGACCTAACTACAAAGGAAGAGAAAGAAACGATATTTCTTAAAAGATCGGGCTCGTTGAGCTCATCAGACTCACAAGAGATGCTAAATTATAAGGACGATCTCCTATTGTTTCGATTGGAGAAGGGTTTGATGTATCGGCCTGAAACCGTTGCATTCTGCTCATGCTCGAAAGAAACAACACAACGCCCAGAGAAACGGGAATGGACGAATACCTGGAGCGGAAGACGGGCAGAGAGAAGGACCCGATCGAAGCGAACGAGGAGAAGACAGCAGGAGATTCGCGGTTGCCCCGAGGGAAGGCGGCCCATTTAAACCCATTTCGCCGGTCCATTGCAACGTGCAGTTCGATTTAGATGTTCCGGCGGATCTGTTTAAAACCCGTTTGTTTCGCGTTGGTTGGTTGGTTTTCATTTGGGCAAAAAAATCGCATATATATTCCTCTAATACTACTGATTTGCGTACTTAACCCTAAATTTAAATCTAACATTATAGTTAACCTTCGACTACTAATTAAAAATATAATAAAATATGATTAAAATTATAAAAAAAAATTAAAAATCTAGAAGCATGAAGTTGTATGCTAAGATGTATTCCGTATGGTTCCTTACTCCTCCATCAGTATGATACTAAATGTAATTATCAATACTTTCCACTAAGAAATCAAGGGCTATATTATTATGCCTCTCGGTCTAGTAATTACTAACCAATTTTCTTACTCATCTATGTAAGCCGATAAGAAGATAGATATCTTAGAGATTTTGGACAAATTATAAAGGTTGATTGAAGCTAATAAAAAAAAAAGAAAAAGAGAATACATCAAGATAGCTTGATTCTCATGATCCCCTATATCTTTTGGTTATGTTATCAGTGGTTTGCTCCAAAAGAAGGATGTTTGTGATGCTCCACACACTTCTTATGTGGGAGAGTTTGACGCTTTGTATATTGTAATCATATTTATTCTTAATATGATTTATTTATATTCTTACAAATAATAATAATATTATTATTATTATTTGTTATTATTTGTTATATATCGGATAATACTATTTTTAGGAAGTGGATATATATTAAGATCCCAATAACTTGGAAAATTATTCTACCGTATGCAACATATGGGTTGTACGACATATATCTCAACAAGTATGTCCTGGTAACTTGAAAAATTATGATATATATCTCAACAAATATGTCTCAAGTATTTAAATGTGATAGATGATACTTCAGAGATATGCACTTAAATAAAAATAAATATTTTATACACTTCATGATATTAAGATAAATGGTTATATTGCACTAGAGAGCATTAAGAATACAGACTATGTATGTATTAAGGCTCAAGTAAGAAGCCTTACAGAATAAAGTACAACACCTAAATATTTTAGAGAGAGATGACATTTGATAACATCTTACGATCAACTAATACATAGAAAAGTCATCATTTGTTTCATACTTGAAAAGAAGAAAGATTTAAAAGAAATTTTATTTTATTTTAACAATTGGGCCCCCACAATTTATTTCGCGGGTTACATGAGTTAATAATAAAAACATGTATACTAATCATACTAAAAATATAATGTTGTCATTTAGGATTTATATGTGAGTCTTGGGTCTTATTCGATTCTATGGTTTCAACAATGTAAATTACATGTGAATATAAAAACATTATGTTTGCAATTGCAGAAAACTGATAGGCTCAAATTACGATTCATGAAGAAAGTTGAGCATACGAGTCTCATCTACATAGGAATAACTTTCAGTTTTCAATTATAACTCTATTATTATTAAGACTAACAGAAAAAAAAAAAAACATTGTGAGAATAGTATGATGGCATCAAAACATATTTTTTTTCAAGATAATAATGGTCAACAGTTACATTTACAAAGTACAGTAAAAGAGGATATTGACCCCTTCATTATATAATTTATGAATGGTATGCCAAATGACAAGATGCAAGATATTCAGAAAAACCGAAAAGCAAAGGCTTCTAACTAAGATACATGATTTAATTAAATTAACCATAGTAATAAACAAAACTAAACATCACTTAATAGGTAATAATTTACTTGGATGGAAGTAAATAGTTTTTTTTATTTAAAGAGGTATTTTTGGATCTGGACAAAAACAAATTGCAGGATTTTTTTTATGGATGTATATATATATATATATATATAAATTAAAAGAAACAAAAATAATATAAATCAGAGATATTTTTGTCCGAATAGGAATTTTAATTTTCTATTTAAGTGGAAATAAATCATATATTACAAAGGATATTTTTATTTTCCGTTTGAAATAGTTACTTTTTATTTTAATAGATAGAACAGAGTATTTTTATTTTTCTTTGGTGGAAATAAGAAAAATCCAAACAAATCAGGAATTTTTTTATTTATTTAAGGAAAGATATGACCAACACTGGATAATTTTTCTATAAAATACACATATTTTGGGTAATTCTCAATCGATATCTCTACTTTTATTTTTTTTCAAAAATACCCCTAATTTAATAAAATATCCAAACTATCCCTTAAAATTTTTCTGTTTATTACAGTGTTTTTGGCATGTTATAGTGCTTTGGACACCATAACAAAAATATTATGAAGCCAACTTGAAAATATTGTAAATGAGTCAAATAGAATTAAAATATACTATAAATTATTTGATATATCATACTATGATTTAAATAAATATTTATAGTAGTTTATAAACAACACTACCCAAATAAAAACTAAAAATTGACTTATTATAGTATTTTAGCCTCTACAATAAAAATTACTATAAAATAATATAAAAATAATTATAAATAGATCCAAATAAGACTCCA